GTCTTACCAGACGCTGGTGCCGGCCTAGATTCCGCAGTGGTCTTTCACGAGAAGCTGTATCTTTCTGAGGAGGATGCATACATCCGCGCGCTTGCAAGACCAGATGATTCCAGGCCCATGTACATCATCTACGCACCGGACGATGCCGACAATCCTCGTAACTGGGCTTGTTGGAAGAAGTGGTACATTACGATTATTGCAAGCATGGCCAACGTCATCACGTACGAATATCATCTCAATGTCAACACCATAAGATGATGCTAATTCCTTCCAGTTGCATCGGTGCTGGCAGTAGTTCTGCGGCTGCTGGCGGTATTGCAGAAAGGTTCGGTGTCTCTGGTGAAGTCACGACATTGAATCTGTCCATGTATGTTCTGGGTTTTGCCTTTGGACCTCTCCTCCTTGCTCCCTTGAGCGAGCGCTTCGGTCGCAGCCCCGTCTATTTCATTGGCTGGTTCTGTCTCTTCATCTTTCAACTTCCCGTAGCTTTGGCTCAGAACATCGGAACCATCATAGTCTGTCGATTCCTCGCTGGTTTCTCCGGGAGTGCTCCTCTGACCAACACCGGAGGCACTGTCAGTGATCTGTGGTCTCGCAATGAGAGTGGGTATCCAATGGCCATCTATGGAGTATCAAGTACACTTGGCCCGCCATTTGCTCTCGTCGTCCAAGGCTATGTTGATCTCAAGTTTGGCTGGCGTTCCGTGTTCTGGGCCAACATGGGCATCTTTGGCGGCTTCTGGCTTATCATGCTGGTATGTGTCAATACCTGTTGCAATTTTGGCAATCTTGAGCACGCCAACTGTTACCAAACGTTAGGCTACTTTACCTGAAACCCGACACAGCACTATCCTCGAGAAGAAGACCAAGCGGTTGAGGAAGAAGCTTGCCAAAGAAGGCCACTCTGCCCATGGCAGCATCCGTGATCTTCACCATGATGATCCCGAAAAGAAGGGATTGGCCCAACTCTTCAAGGTCACGCTCACCAGACCATTTATCTTCCTATTCTCCGAGCCCATCACTTATTTCTCGGCTCTTTACAACGGGTTCATCTATGGTGTCGTCTTCCTCTTCAACGAAGCTTTCCCGCTCGTGTTCGGCGGTGGGCATCATTTCAACAGTGGTGAGGTTGGTCAAGCCTTCCTTGGACTTGTGATTGGTCCCATCATCGGCTGCTGCTTCCATTTCCTGCAAGAGGGTTACTACAGACGACGTGTCCGTCAGAATGAGGGTAACGGTGTACCAGAAGCCCGTATGTGGACGGGAATGGCTGGCTCAATCATCATACCGGTCGCCCTCTTCTGGTTCGCCTGGACATCGTACCCTAGCGTGCCATGGATTGTGCCGATCATCGCCTCGGGATTCTTTGGTCTCGGCATCTACATTGTCATTCTGGGCATCTTGAACTACATTGTCGATTCATACCAGACATATTCTGCCTCGGCATTGGCGGGTATCATCTTTGTCCGCAACGTTGTCGGCGCCGCTTTCCCATTGTTTGCCGAGCAGATGTACACAAGTTTGGGCGATGAGTGGGCATCGAGTCTGCTTGGGTTCTTGGCGATCCTCTGCATCCCGGTACCATTTTTGTTCTTCTACAAGGGTGAAACAATTAGGAAGAGAAGCCCCTGGGCCAGCCAGCACTTCAACTCCAACGAGGACAAGCCACACTAGTGTCATGGAGATAGATGGGAATATCATCGTGCTAGCAATGTAGATGATGATAAGGTCTGGAATGTAGATTCATGAATATATAGCAGACGGATGGTATGGGAGCAATTGAGACTTTGATTGAATAGTAATGCAATGACAAGGATATTACCTCCACAAGATACGCTACAGCGATTAAATGCAAGAGTCGTTAGCTACTAACTCGTACATGTAGTATCAATGCTGTGAAGGATCTGTATAAGGCAAGGATACCAACTCTCACCTGTAAATGGTCGCCAAGCATTAACAGGTAACTACCCGAGCTTTTTTGTTAGAAGTTTACAGTTAAATAACTGTTTCCTCGGTGTTTGAACAGAAGGAAAATCGCTTTTCTCTTAATTTAAGAAGGCTGTTTGTTGAAGGTTATCTAGAGAGGATTATTAAAGGTTATTAGGGGGTTATTAAGAGGGTTATTAGGAGGGTTATAAGGTTGTAAAAGGCATAGCGACCTGTCGCGACTTAATGCCTTCAAGACCTTCGGTATGTATTGAAAATTTGTTGTAAAATCCTAAAAACTTGGCATTTACACCCTTCGATTTGTCCAGTTCAGCGTTTACAGGTCAAATTATCCGGTCTACGTCCAAACAAGATCCTCGTGTTTGGTCACCGAGACTATAGTTTTCTGACATAATCGGAAAAACCTTTGCCCGACGATGTCTTTGTCGCAACCTCATATGCCAAGACTCACATGCCAGTCGTCATACTGCGGAGTCGCGCATCGATAACACAAGACACTTTACGCAGCTATCTCCACATCGTATGCCAAATTGATGACTCGGACAGCCGAGAAATAATAGCAACATAACATGGCGCCAAATGGCACCGGTCGGAAGAGTACTGACTCTCCTAACGCGACAAGCGCACACCCTCCCTCATACTGACAACGACACAGCACCGACACCAACAACAAATGGCAAAACCAAGAATCTAAACTTCTTCACCAGCGCGACCTCAAGCGCAAACAAACTCGTCAAATTCAAGGATGAAATAAAGAAGAGATTACCCAAGGCCTCCAAGCCCGGCAACTGGGACTCGGAGATAGCAGGAGGCACGTAACCTCATTCGCTAACCTCTGCAGCAGCAGTCCGCATTCTTTTGTCGCACGAAAACTAACAATATGTCCCATTTAAAGGCGAACCAAAAGACACAACACCAGCCATAAACCGCATACCGCACACCCTAGCCTCCTCTTTCCCCACCGGCCGACCCTTGGCAGATACCCCCGACATAGTTAAATGCAACCATTGCAAGCGACCCATCCTCCGTCACAAAGCCAAACAACACATCGAAGACTGCCTTGCCAAGAAGCAAGAAAAGCAGCGCAAGAAGAAAGAAGCAAAGGACGCACGTGACGCAGCGGCACGAGCTGATCACGCACGCGACAACAGCGAAACACCAGAGGCAGAAGAGATACTAGGCGGTGAGGGAGGAGGAAGGAAAACAACGTCCGGCAAATCAGAGGCGGGGAAGAAGAGAAAGGCGGAAGATGATGGCGGAAGAGAGGGAGGGAAGAAGAAGAAAAAGAAGGAGGAGGGCAAGGCTAAGGCGCCTAGACCAAAGGCTCCCGTTGATGTTGAGAAGCAGTGTGGTGTCGAGTTGCCGAATGGAGGACAGTGTGCTAGGAGTTTGACTTGCAAGAGTCATAGTATGGGTGCCAAGAGGGCGGTGCCGGGAAGAAGTGCACCCTATGACAAGTTGCTCGCTGATTATCAAAGGAAGAACCAGGCCAAGCTGCAGAGTATGTTGGCTTGCCCTCGCCTTTTCCAAAGGCCTTGTACTAACCATATATCGCAGAGGCAGCATTGGATGCCATGGAACCCAACCAGGACGACGACCTCACTCAATCTGGACCAATCGACTCGGATGAAGAAAAGGATCTTGTCATGGCTGCACTCATGCGCTCTCGCCCACGACCTCTCTTCGAAGCCTACCGAGTCCCGCTCAAGCAAAAGTACCAGATGGTACGCATGAAGGAGATGCTTGGCAATGCCCTTGGGGGCCGAGGCGGAGGTAGCCTATTCCGAACCACCCCTCGAGAAGAGCCGAGCAGTGCCCTGAATGGCATGAACGGCTTTGGCAGTGGCATGATGAGCGCCGTAAGCGGAACTGATGGTGCTGACAGGCGCATGGGAAGTATGTCCGGTCGAATACCCTCAGGCAGCATCTCGAGCCGGAAGCAAAGTACGGCTTGATGGGTTTATGCATGGTTCACGACTACAGACCGGTGGCGTAAGGTTCACTTGACGAGGCGTTTGGGAAAGGCAAATTGGAAAGATACCCCTGTTGATGTACTGGTGCCGAGAGCATAGTGAGATGAGAAGATGATAGGTCCGCTGTTATCCCTAATTCTAGAAACTGGACATGCTTTTGTTCCCCTCCTTAACAATATCTGACCCAGCTTTCCCTTGAACAGTTCAGAAGTCAAGAGACAGACATTTCAATCACAGCACGATGCCAGCTATCGTACGGTGGATGGAATATACTGAGATAAATCTGAAGACGGGGGCAGATGTCCAAGATCCTCAACAGAAGGACTTAAACATGTATGTCTCCAGATCCTTCTAAGCTCCTCAACAGTGGTTGCCGTGGGTGACACGCGGACAGAGAAATCTTTGTCTGGGACCTCACATGTCGCCTCCCGCCTTGCCGGGATATCGTCACCACGCATATCCTCTTTTCCAAGGTCTTTTTTCCAAGATCTTTCCCAGGATGTGTCCATAATTCATGTCTTACATCTTGTCGTAATACCACAGGCTATCTCATCGACTCAGGTCAGCTGGTTTGTTCATTTTACACATGATGAGCAGGACGTGAATTCGCAAAGACTTTCTGAACTTAAATAGATAGCTATCACCTCAGGATGCCTCGGTCTCGCCGTATAAATTGCAGCAGTTATGACTGCAGACACAGTCTGTGTTATTTATTGATCTCTTCAGTCTAGCTAGGACGCAAGTTCAGTCGATAACAGTCGCTGCTTCAGACTATGAACCAGAAGATCATAACAATTCAAAGGCATTTCGCTTCGTCTTTCTTCCCGATTTCATGACTACGTACCAATACAAGAACAGCCGCCACTGGCCCAACGTGCGATTGTATCGTCAGAAACAAGAATTCTCACCCTAACAATCATCACAGCCACCCTACCTCAACGCCCTCCCATCTCAACCATCAACCCTCCATGATTCCAACATCTCCCTCCCCTGCCCTCCCCTGCCCTCCCCTGCCCTCCCGTTCCCAAACCGCCATCCACCCCTCGTATATCTCTTAGCATCCACCAATCCCCAACAAACGCGTCAGTGGTCTAGTGGTAAGACGCCGCCCCCCTAAAGAGCCACACGTGGTTTCGAACCCACTCTTGGCCGCTTAAGGCAGCTGATCTTGGATAGCAGTTTTATGGGTACGCATGTTCGAGTCGTGTCTGACGCAAGTATTTTTTTTGGATAGGAGAGATATGTTGGTTTTGGCTTGAGGTTGGACGCTCGACGTGGGATATATCAGTTTTAGGCGTTCGAAGACGTGGGAGATGGTATTGGAAGGTAGATGTCTTGCTGTAATGGTGTAACTTGTTGGGAAGTGGGGAGGATAGAGATGGTCTTTTGGGGGAACTGGTGGCTACAACTAACCTGCCTCAACGCTGAACTAGGGGGAGATGCTGCATAGAAAGCGTCTTGGCATCACGGGATTGATACAGAGATGATTTGGCAGGACAGACTGTCTCCTGGATTTCCAGGTTCAGAGTTATTTCCTCTTGTTGATATGGTCTGAAGCTGGATTTTGTACTGCATGCAGTCAAGTACGCTTTATGCGAAGCATGAGACGTCAATGTGTCGCATGCGAACCCTTTGTCGGTCTGAGCAAACTCCGTTGGTCCTCTTGTCTGAATGATTCTTTCTTACTACGCAGGTATTTTGACTGGATGGAAAATGCATACTACAGTCCATAGGAGAAAGGACTGGTGGACGGGTCAATGAGATCGCAGTGGTTTTGGAAGAAGGGATGAGCCCTTGGAAGATGCATATGAATTTCAAAGACCACCTCAGAGTCAGGCGCATGTTACACACTCAGTGATGCCGGGTTCACGTTCCAGGCTTGCTGAGTTAAGCCCTTCAATTCCGATGGCTGCGGATGTATGTTGAGAGATATTGGTCTCTCAGTCTCCCACCGGCGCGTTTCAAGTGTACTTGTTTGCTGGAGAAGGATGCTCTGGAGTGAATTTCGAAGTCCAAGATGGATGTTGCATGGGATCGCAGGCTTATGGCGATAGTGCGTCGGCCTGAAACCTGTATGCGCAGGAGTGCCCGGATGTGAGTTTGGCTGCTGTTACCATTACTGCGACCGCGGCATCGACCACCACCGTCGCCTCTTCGTAGAAAGTAGATTCCTCGACTCTGGTGACGATCACCATTAAAGGTGCAGTCTTAGAGACTTCCAGTGACCTAACCACCACAGATGCCGTGATCATGACTACGGCTTTGGCCAGCAGCAACCCAGGTGAAACTGCCAACCCATCGACAAAGTCGCCCATCGACAAAGTCAGCCCCCAGCCCTCCAGAACTAAGAAACCGACGCATGAGTTATATTGAACCTAAACACACTCATATTCCATCAGAACTGGGGCGTTTGGCTCAGTGGCTTAGACTGAAGTTGCAAATCAATTGCTGTGTGCGCATTCAACTTGAGCATCTCCTTACCAAACCGAAGGTCCGGGTTTGGGGTAGAGTGATGTAAGTCGCAATAGACCGAGGTTCGAACCCTTTTGGTTCGCCATTTTGTTTTGCTCTTTTATCTTTTTTCTTTCACTTTGGTTGGTAAAAGGGGCGCAACAAAAGAAGTTGACTACTGGTGGGGATTGAACTGGTGCCATACTTCTCGAACCTCGCAGGCCGTGATATGGTCCTTAGCGATGACATCTCCATCTGCTACCGTGGTTAGCCCGTCGGACTCAGGTGAGCTTTCGGAGGCAGCTGGAATTGCAACAATAATCGGATCGACCGAGGGCGTTCTTGGACTTTCCATAACGAAGCGTTACACATATATATAGACGGCAACATATTCTACGCCGTCCTGATGTCAGCTTCTCTAGCGGTCGTTAAGAAGCGAGAATCGACACGAATCGTTTGTGTCAGTATTCAAATCAGAGGAATGCCACTCGCAATCGATTCATGGCCTGCACCAAATCTCCACTGGTGATCGATCTTGGAATCCCCAATCGATCCATGGCCTGCGCCAAATCCACATCGGTGCGTGAGAGCCTTGACAAATCCGTGGCTTGCACCCATTCTCCATCATCCAGCATGACCGAGTCATGCATACTTAGGAGCCTCAACAAACTCATGGCCCGAACTGAATTTCCATCATCATCCTTGGTCTTTCCACTCGTGCTTGGGAGCCACGGCCACGGCTGAGGATTCGGCTTGGGGTCCGGTTCTACCAAAATCCTTGCACTGGTCAACGTGGTAGGTTTAGTCACCACATCCTTCGGACCTTTCTGATAGATCATTCCAGGTTTGTAGTGATCCTTCATAGTGGCTCCCAACACCTGGTGTTGACCATTACTCACCACCCCGGGATCCTCCGCTCCCTGGAAAAACCTATCGAAGTTGTCCGCGATGTAGTCGATGACCTGTTGTGGCTTGTAGCGATAATCGACTTTGTCGCTTAGACAACGAGAGATGATATCCATGAGATCCTGCGAGTATTCGCCGTTGAAACTATCCATCACAGGCACATCCATATCATAATTTGCAAATGTTGTGTCGCCGTCGAATCCTTTCGCCGGAGCTGGACCCGTAACATACTCTGCGAATCTTGTTAATTGCGCCTGCATAAGAACTCGGATGATCATGGCAGATTGCCAGACATTAATTGAGGATGTCAGCTTCTTTGGTATTGCACTTCGGCGATAGTCCTATTCAAGTCAATTGCTATATCTCGATTTCCAATCCTTGGATAGAACACTCACTGGTGGTTGCCAGCCCCGGGTCAAGGGGTCATTACCGCGCCAGTCCATCGGATTTCGATCATCGCCTTCGAAAGTGAATTGAGCAGATCCCCAATCGCCCATCTGTCCCAGTAATTAGAAATTGTTGCGTACGAGGCTAGTATGATGTTACTTTTGGAATAGGAAATTGTGGGAACCATAGAGGATCGGGCTTATCAAGGAACACTGATGTATGTTAGCAACGTACGATGTTGGGAATTGGGTTCTTCACTACCATTGTTGAATTTGATGTCTCTGCCAAGGTTTATCAGCATGGTTCAGCAAGAGGCGAAGAACTTTACGTACTGGTGTATGACTTCTCCCGGTTTTCCTATGGTAATATCATCCATCCTCTTGCAAGCAAGCATCAGATGGTACAACGTAAACCACAGATACGGCTCGGGTACCTGTCCAGACTCAGGGGGGTCTTTGGTGTACAGGCGGATGATGTGTAGTAGGTCCCCTCCATCCGCGTAGTCCATGTACATACGATAGCGCAGTAGGTCTTTGAAGACTACCTGATTTCTGTAGTTAATGATGCCAGTCCCTTGACCAACTGGCCTTTTCCGCTTTCTTGGGTTTTCTGGGACGATTCCGGGCGGCTGCTCAGTTGTTTGGCTAGCACAGTCATCTTCACTAGTATTGCGTATCGGCTGGCTCAAGGATGCGTGAATGACTGCCTCTGTGAGTCGCACTGGATAGATTCCAGGAAATCTGAACACGTAACGGCCTGTCTCTGCAAAGTCGATTTCTTCCATTAGTCCTTCCTTGATCGCTACACGGTCAATGATGTCTTTTTTGTCGTCGAGTTTCAAGAACAGCCCAGCACTACCCTGGCCACCCGTTCCGAGAACCCTGACACCCCTCCATATCCCGCTGAGCGCGGCTGAACTTCCGCCCGATCGAAACCACTTGCCTGCCATCCCATTCTCTATATGGCTTTCCTCGCGCTCATGTCGGACTTCTTCCGATTCAACATAAAGTTTATAAGCCAGGTCATAAGCCCGGGCCCTAGCTTTGTTGTCGAGTATTCCAACCGCGTAATCTTCGAGGTATCTGACCAAGGCCGTGAGCTTGGAGGTTGGCCCACGACGATTTGTCATGTTGAATGTGCTTTACTATCTGCAGTGTCCGATTGAGTTTTACTGGGATGGAAGGTTTGTTTAATCGTTGCGAGACTTACCACACGAGATGCCGTTGCGAGACTTACCAAATGAGACGCGATCGTTTCTTTGTGATCAAGTCTAGCGTTTCGTCGTCGCTTTCGGCTTTTTCAACTAGTGCTTTGCGACTAACAAGTCGACAAAGAACACCGATGAAGAAGACTTCACTGAATATGAGGACTTCAAAGACAGGGCACGTCATTGTAAAGTAGACATCCTAACCTATTCCGGACCACAACGATCAATCATCGAGGTTGAATGGGAGTGTTGGAAATGAACACAACCTAGTACTCGGCACAGTAGTTGAGTAAATGATGCTTGAGCATGAGGCTTGAGCATGAGGCATCTTATCACATCTCTGCATTCTTCGAGCTCCTCTCTGTGCCCTTTCATTCGGCCCGGACTAGCATCAGAAGGCGCGTCCTAGCTAGTTTCTCTTGTTGCTCTGAAACGGATCGATCACCATACCTGTAAGGGGCACGTGTGTGGAAATGGTCTATCTGAACAGCCATATGCCTGTATTAAAAAGCCACATTGAATTACTGATCACAGTGAAGCTAGTAGACCTTGGGGAGGTTCTTGAAGTCGGTGCGACAATAATGTCTCCCGTCGGTGTAGAGTTGCTCCGCAGAAAACCAAGCCATCTCGCTTTCGGCTTAGCGCCATCCTCATTAGCCCACAGCAGTTGCAACTTCACTACTGGGCAAGTGGGCATGTCGGATAGTTGCCATTCACGATAGACTTTCCACAAACAACAACTTCGGCCGTCATACTGACCGTCGGGTCGATGTGAACTCAAACGGCCAGTGTAGACTCGAAGCAGGTAGGTGCATATAAGCAGTGTCTGCACGCTGTCCATGGCAAGACACATTTCAACCTCAGCACGATCGAAAAGAGACAATAGTCCGTAATCATCTCCGTTACATCATCTCCTTTACAAAATCTGTTCCTAGGTGATTGACACCATGTCTGTCTCCTCAGCTTCGACACAGAAGCTTGATCTCCACCACGAGAAAGCTATTAGTATGCCTCTACCTCAAGCTGCACACATCTCGGGGCATGAAAGCCCGCAACCAGGAGCTCACACTTCGCTGGAAGTTGAGAAATCACCAGTCAAACCTCAATTCAATCCAGGCTACCGCTTCTATCTAGCATTCGCAGCCATGTGCGTCATCGTCCTGATGGCAGCCTTGGATGCAACCTCTCTATCAGTCGCTCTCTCCAGTATAGCATCAGCACTCCACGGCACAGCCATCGAAGCATTTTGGGCTGGAACCTCTTTC